ACACATTGGTGTACATGCGCAAAACACACTTCGTATCCAAGTATTGTTACAATTCCAAAATTTCGACTTTGATGCTATTCCTGCAAGTAACTCGAAAACGTCACTGAAACAATACTCTAGCAAACATTTACAATATCAGAAAAGCAATGTAATAAGAACTAACATCTAAGCAACTTAAAATTCTTCTTGTATAAATTCAAAAAAATATTTAAAATGACTAATTACAATACTTTTTGAACATCCATCCATCCATCCATCCATCCATCCATCCATCCATCCATTTATCCTCACAAGGGTCGCGGGGGGTGCTGGAGCCCATCCCAGCTGTCTCCGGGCAGTAGGCGGGGGACACCCTGAATAGGTTGCCAGCCAATCGCAGGGCACACAGAGATGAACAAGCATTCACGCCCACACTCACACCTAGGGACAATTTCGAGTGTTCAATCAGCCTGCCATGCATGTTTTTGGAATGTGGGAGGAAACCGGAGTACCCGGAGAAAACCCACGCGGGCCCAGGGAGAACCTGCAAACTCCACACAGGGAGGCTGCAGCTGGAATTGAACCCGGTACCTCCGCACTGTGAGGTCGACGCGCCAACCACTGGACCACTCACTGGACTACTTTTTGAACATTGACACTTTAAATGCAAAACGACCAAAAGGTGTGGTCCTTATATTTATTTATTGAGTTATTTATTTATTTGAACCTACTACAATGGGCTGGCAAATCAGTTCAGGGTGTATAGCAAATGCAAAAAATGGCCTCCCTCTCAAGTAGTTATCACCAAATTTGTTTCACAATGTCATTGACAAATCCACCGCCAGTGCTTGTTCATTTTGCCAAACACCCAAAAATATTACGGGACATCAACAGTGAGAGTGGAGCAGGGCAAGATTTTGCATGCATGCAGTCTCTCTCTCCTGCTCTGCCATATACAGTACTGTCCGTGTTTATTTTGAAATATCCCCTCCTCAACCTCCCTAGGAGACATATGAAGCCTTGCCTTGTGTTATGTAAGACTTCCAGCTTCCTACTTTGAAAAGATGAAATCATCAAATGTGTTGAGAGGGAGAAGAAAAAGTGGCACTTATGATGTTTGTGAATTGCTGACTCATTGGGCAAGCCAATGCAATACACGGAGCTTTTTATGATGCAGCCAAAAGGAGACCTTATCGTTAGGCGAAGTAGCATCACTGCCAGCCATGCTGCCAGAAAAAAGAAAGCAGCATTTAGAGGAAAATTCCAAGTACCTGATTTACTAAAGATTCGTGTGTGCAAAAATGAGTTCACACTTGATTGCTCACACTAGCAGGTGTGGAGGCTGATCTATTAACTGAGCACTTACAATGTGATTTACCAAAGAGTTTTCATCTTTGAATGTGGCAGCTGAAAGGAAGGTGCAAACCGATACACAGATGAGTGAACTTTTCTGCTTGTGTAACACATTTTTTAAATTGAATTGACAAGGATTATTGCAACATTTTGCTGGCTGAGCAATGCAATTGTGGAGCTTCTGAATAATCTCAGGGCTGATTTCAATGTCACAAGGAGTCATGCCGCATGATAAAACATACGGGAGAATATGCAAACTCCACAAAGGAAGGCCGGGGCCGGATTCAATCCCTCCACCTCTGCACTGTGAGGCAGCTGTTGCTAACCATTCTTCCACCGTGCCTCTCTGGTTTATGTCCGTCGCTCAATTTTTCATGTAATGTCTCAAAAGAAACCAGAGCAGAATGTGAATGTTAGATTTGCACCCTTGTCAAGCAAAATGAAGGAGATGTAAAAGAATGACAGTTTATGTGCTTTTGTGGTATTTTGTCATATATGTTGTTATTTGTACATAGTTTTCACTATGTTTAATAATTTCAAAAGTTACCTGATGCTACCAAACTAAAAATGTCTCCATTGTGCATTGAACCAAGGGGATAGCTACATACTTAAAAAGGTGCCGATATCCCTGACACAAAATAGACAATGAAAGGCTCCATACTCTTGTGTCAATGTTGGAAAGCAGGTGGAATAGCTTCACAAATTGGAGGACTGGATTCAGAATCATTATCAAAATGAATGTTCCTGCTGGTAAAAAAACCCAAAACAAAACCATCCATCATTAGGTAAGGCCAAATGGTCTGTGACAGTTACGGTAGGTGTAGTGTGAATGCTAATTGCATCTCTTTTCAACCTTCTTTTTACATAGCTATAAGAGACCAAATGTACGACAACAGTACACTTTGTACATATGGCACTGAAATGGTGGACACTGATGTGCTTTGTCGTGTCCTGGAATCGCAGTGTCAGTGAGCTACCTGGTGATGTTCTTATTCTTGCAATGCTGTGACGCAGCAGAAAAGCCTCTGAGGAAGTTAGGGGGAAGGAAGAGGAGCTGAGACGCAAACGGTAGAATACATCAGCTCGCGTGACAAGTTTGTATTTCTGAACATATTCAACAGAGCGGAACAGCAAAGCAAAGGTGCCACAGAGCACCGGCAGTGGGAAAACATGCCAAACTAAGTCATGCTACATTTCTAGTCAGAGCCTCTTAGTGCCAAGCGGTCGGTGGCTTCTTCAAAATTCCTGAGCAAATTAAGACTGGCATGAGATGATGCAGTAAGGCAGGCAAATAAGTGGGCAGCAGGCAGCTTGAATGTCACAATTAGGCAGAATTTGTCCCTCAAGCAAGCTGAGGCCTCATTGTTGATTACTTGATGGACTAACTGTGATGTCGTGACGAACAACAGAAATTTAAGGTGATTGCAGATGAGGAAATAAAAAGATTTATCACTTGTCTTTATGTCTACAGTATGTTGCACGTCTTCAGTCATTTCATAGGTTGGGCCAGTATCGCCCTCCATCCATCCATCGTCCACCCTGTTTCTCCTCACAAGGTTCGCAGGTGTGCTGGAGCCTACCTTGGCTTACATAATAGGCAACATTCACATTGCAGGGCGTGATAAGATAAGAAAACCTTTATTTGTCTCAAAATGGAGAAATTCCCATTGATGACCAATTCGGATTTTTGTTATATCCGACATTTTTAGTGCAAGGTGCATGCATATTGACATTTAAAGTGATACAAAAGTAACTCACAATTTTTAAAGTACCGTATTTTCAGCACGAAAAGACGCACTGGATTATGAAGTGCACCTTCAATGAATGGCTATTTTGTAAATTTTTTTCATATATTAGACGCCTTGCACTAAAAGGCGCAATTTACAATGCGTCCACTAGATGGTGCTAGGCTCCTTCCATTCAACTTGAGAGGCGTTCATGACTTCCTCTGAAAAATGTAAATAAACTATTACTGTACTTAAATGAAACTACGAAAATTGAAAATAATGCATCAAAACAGAAGATCAAGCGAGGAAATCACAAAATAAATTCTATATCCCCCCTACAGAATTTATTTTGTGATTTACTCGCTTGATTTTCTTCGTGGTTTCATTGAAGAGTTAATTTACGTTTTTCTTAGGCGGCCGTGAACGCCTCTCCAGTGGAACGGAAGAAAGCATGGAGACGGACAAAGACGTACAGTACCTGGAATTGCTGAGACTGTGAAAACCATTAATAAAGTCTGCGTTTAAAAAAACAATAAAACTACAACCACAGCTCTCATTTTTTCAACAAACTCAGGTGTGTCTTTGTCCGTCTCCTTCCCTTCTTACGGTCAACTTGAGAGGCGTTCATGACCGCCTCCGAAAAACCCATTGGCATTTCCTTTATCGTAGCTCCAAGAGTACAATCAGATAAGATAAAATAAGAAAACCTTAAATAGTCTCACAATGGAGAAATTTCCACTTCACAGCAGCAAAGTTATGAAAGGAAGAAGTAGAAGAACAAAATAAATAGGAGCTGCTGGAAAGCCAGCCACTCTCGCTGCGCCATCTTGAAGTCAACAACAAGATGTCAGTCGTAGTTATTTATTCCTTTGTTGTGTATTCACAAATGATGAAATCACAATATAAATTCTGTAGGGGGGGTATAGAATTTATTTTGTGATATCCTCGCTTGCTTTTCAGTTTTGATGTATTATTTTAAATTTTTGTAGTTTCATTGAAGTAATCGTTAGTATACGTTTTTCGGTGGCGGTCTTGAACGCCTCTCGAGTCGAACGTAAGAAAGCACGGAGATAGAAAGACTTACCTGTATTTTTTGAGACGGTTTTAAAAAAATTAACACCACAGCTCTCCTTTTTTCAGAGCTGCAACACATACTTATTTAATAAAGCGGCGACACAGTTCACTGAACCAACAGCAAGTTAAAACATTGGAAGCTTGTCTCCAGGAAGGAGCCATCTTGGAGTCGACGTATTACTGTAATGACCATACAAAAGACGCACCGGATTTTAAGGCGCTCAGTGAGCTTTTAAGAAAATTGAAGACTTTTGGTGCGCCCTATAGTGCGGAAAATACGGTACTGTACCTTTAAGTTATTTTTAGGGCCCGAGCAGCGATTCCTGCAATGTCACGATTGTTTTTGTCAGAATTCTTCATGTGAAAAGGGAACTGTAGGTGCAGTCAAGGAGCAACACGGAGCAAGTATAACGCATCAGGCAATTTGAAAAAAAAACAAAAATCTGCCGGTCCTGTCATTCATCGAGCTATCTATTCTCTGAACTTTGTTTTTCCTATCAACTTTTCTCTGATCATACTCTGCATATTTTACACATTGTTTTGGGACTATTATTAGCTCTATGCAAAATGTTTCCACTTTGCCTCTTCTTTTGCTCTCCATCCGTCTTTCGATACCCGAAATATCTCGCTCACTGTTATACAACTCTTTACGGCCGTGTCCTAATTATCTGGTGGCTTATCAAGGAAGCACTTCCATTCATATTGGGCTGAGTTAGCCAACCACATGGAGTTAAGATACGTTTGACCACTCTGCCCCCCATTACAAAGTTTTTTGTGATGTGTAGTACATTCCTGAACTCAAATGAAGACAAAAAAAAAGAGACGCCACACCTCCCCTTTAACTCCTGTGGAATGTTTCTTTTGCAGCTCTGCACGAGTTCCCCACAGACCTGTTCACAAACAAAGAGAGAACAGAAGGAGCAGTGACCTTGCATGTCTTGTGTGTAAGTTAACCGTACACCTTTATAATTCAAGAGTGGGCTTTTATCAATTTATGAGCTCAGTAATTTTACATTTTAAACCAGCGAGGTATCATGCTCAATTTTTGGAGACCAAATGGATGGGCATTTGACTAAACTTAAATTTTAACAAAATTTTAAATTGATTATTATATAATAATAATTATTATATTTTAAATATTTTTACATTGATTTCAGATGGCAGAAAATACCAGGGATTTAGTTTATATTATATTACTGTAGTTTGAACTAGCATAACATATAATCCTACTGAAAAAAAAAAAGTGTTTTATTTGTAGACAGCAAAATACAGTGTGACACACACCCACGCGCGCGCGCGCACACACACACACACACACACACACACACACACACACACACACACACACACACAGGCAGTATGGTGGGTGACTGATTTGCACGTCCGCCTCACAGTGCAGAAGTGCAACATTTGGTTCCAGCACCGGCCTTCCTGTTTGGAGTTTGCATGTTCTCCCCCATGCCTGGGTGGGTTTTCTCCAGGGACTCCATTTTCCTCCCGCATTCCCAAAACATGCAAAGCAGGTTAATAGAACACTCTAAATTGTCGCTAGATGTGATTGTGAGCATGAATGGTTGTTTGTCTATGTCTGCCCAAAGACTGCTGGAATAGGCTCCAGCACACCTGCGATGGATGGATGAATTGCAACACGTTTTAGTGTTTATGGTCAGCACAAAAGCTCAAAGTATTAACTTGTGTGTGTGTGTGTGTGTGTGTGTGTGAGATTTGATCTGTGATAATGCATGTTGTCTCCTGATGTCTGAGTAGTTGACACCAGCTTCTTTCTTCCTTGAAGCATATCGTCACTCCTCTTGACAAGGCTCACGCAGAAAGAGCAGCATTTAATCCACTAAAAGTCAAACATCATCACTGGGATGTCATTTTATTCCCACACGTAATAATCACAGTCATTAAAAAAAAAAAAAAAAAGACTAACCCTGCCGTGCTTAATGTGTCTGATTAAGGGGAACAATACTTTTGGGAAAGAAGGGCGGCCTGGTGTACATTTTCAGGTTTAAGCCTAATTACCGTATTTTCACGACCATTCGGCGCACCGTATTGTTGGGCGCAGTCTCAGTAACGGGTGCTATTTCTGTATTTGACACATACACAAAACGCACTGTATTATTGGGCGCAGCCAGGCATGGTAAAACATGTGCCAGCTTAAACATACGGCATGCATGCACGCACGCTAAAAACACGTTAGCTTGAAGCATACGGTAGCATGCATGCACGCTAAAACATACCAGGTATGTTAGCTTAAAGCATACGGTAGCAGCTAAGACATACGGACACACGCTAAAAACACGTTTTTAAAAAGGCAATGGAAGCAAAACTGAGTTCGTTTGTACTTTATTTAGCCATTTTACAATGTACTCACGCGACTGGTACCTGCTAGGGG